TACATATACATATATATATTTATATATGTATGTATGTATGTATGTATATATATGTATACATATGTAGATATATAGAAATAAATAAATATATATATGTATATATATATATATTACACATACTTCTTTGTTCCAGTTATACCTATGTACGTTTATCTCATACCGTCGCTCAGAAATAGCTAGACTTTGTGTATCCCACACGTTTCTTAACTTGTAGATAAAATATTAATTGATTCTACTCGTGATCTCCGACAGTGTCAATATAGCACAGGCCATAGATGTGAAGAATTCAAACAGCATCCAGTCACAACCTTGTTCCGCACAAAGTGGTGTAAACGCGAATGGCGCAGAAGATAGCGCATACTACACATACACGGACGGAAACCAGCAAAGGGCCGCCGACCGCGAAACCGGGACTAATAGTGCATTGGTGACACCGGCAAGCGGTACCAATCTCACGAGGGTACTGCCAGCTGACACAGATTATGTGGAGATTGTACGTGGAAGCCGTACTGCTAACGAGGTGGAAGATTCTCATGACGATGGGTATATGAGTGCAGTGGGTACAGACGCTGATGGTTCTGAGGAGATGAGCTATGCACAGTTCAACCGAGACATGTCGGATGTTCCGCTGCAGTAGAAGGGGATGAAAGCGGAGATTGCTATTGGCGGTTATAAATAGAACCGTATTGTTATAAATAGAACACGCCCGGGGACTTGGACGCCGATGCGGGGTGGAGAATCACCCACAGATCAACCAAGCCTCTCTCGAATTGTACTGTGTAGTATTAGTGGTACATGTGGCGATTTCTATTGGATGTGCTCAAAATAGAACGGTTACCGAGACCCCCTCCCCCCCTAATGTATCGAACAGCCCATGGCTATTGAATTCTGTAACTAAGGTATTGGCTCGGATGAGTCTTGCCTGACTTAGTGCTGCGGCAAATCCGTGGTTCACTCTCCCTCTAATTGTTTGGCTATCACAATACAGAAAGAGGAGACAATACATTACACATACACCATACTTGCATCCAGACACAGTGCGAGGGATGAGGGTCATACACACATGCATACGTGCTCATTACTTGCATCTAGTTACGGTGCAATGGGTGGAGGTATCGCATACGTACATACACACACATACATACACATCACTTGCATCCAGATGAAGTGCAAGAGGCGAGAGGCACACTTACATACATGCGATCACTTGCTTTCCAAGTGCTATGAGGCTTGTTATCAATAACACACCGGCTAAAATAGAACCGTGACGATTGGTGAGGGGTGTATCTCCAAGGCCAGTCCCATATATGGATGGATCGATGTATTCGGGTTGTACTCCCGCGACGGTTGAAGATGCGACTGCCCACATATCTATAATATATATGTATATATATATATATATATACATATATGAGCCTATTAGTAGACAATCCGGCTACCAATAGAACCGTGCCGATTGGTGAAGAATGTGCCTTCAAGGCCAGACCCACTTTAGCCAGCGGACACGCCCACAACAACGGCATCTCCACGGTGTATATGCTACCAACGAGGACATTCACAGCGATATACAGAGTATACGACATTTTTTTAATATGTAAGTATTCGACGAACGTGAATATACGACATACGTGAAAATACGACTTACATGGGGACAGCTTCAGCCAATGATAACCCTACAGCGGCACGATAATACACACCAGACCCGGAATGTAAGACATGAAATAGAATACAACACCGTGGAACAATGTGTACATATTTAGTGCCTCAGTGGGAAGTATAACAAGAGGGAGAATCTTTCGGTTGGACCAAAAGGGGTTGTGATGATTGGCATACGACATGGTGTAGGTCAGTCTATAAGACTACCTTCGGTACACTTGGATGTATCGGCAATAAAAGAGGTGGAATATCTACCTATATTTCTTGATAGGCAATCCTAGATGGGTAGAATATCTACCTACATTTCTTGATAGACAATTCTAGATGGGTAGAATATCTACCTACCTTTCTTGATAGGTAATTCTAGATGGGTAGAACATCTACCTACATTTCTTATCAGGCAATTCTAGATGAATCATAAAACCTTAATTCTGATAGTTTGAATGATATATTATTCTATCATTGCAAACTTGCTATGCAACGATCATCAAGTCTCATGTGAATTGTACCAAACTTTGGCTATAGCAATAGGTTAATCGCATTATCACCTTATTAACCTGCTATGAGAGGATTAAAAGTCTGATAGGGAAAGTACTGAACTTTGGTCATCGCAATAGGTTTATTATCATCGCCTTATGAATTTGCCATGTATGAACTATAAAGTCTGATGTGAAATGTACCGAACTTTGGCCTTCGCAACGGGTTCATCGCGTTATTATACAAAAATGGCAAATTTTTAATATAAATTGTCGCCTTATTAAACATTGCCAGAGGTCATCAGTTTCCGTTGAGACGAGGACTCATTGAGTTTTGCCGTTTCCAAGTCGTTCATTTTCTCTGTGGTGTGGTGCAGATGAAATGTAAAACTAAGTTTATGTATCGTCCCTCGTGTAAACTTGGCACGATCTGGGATGCATCTTCCAGCATTAACAAATGGTATGATCCAAGAATAGCAATAGCAATAGCAGCTGTGTCGTACGGAGAAAGACACAACGGAGATCCAAACCCTTCACAGACATTTATATTTAAGTGGGCAAACACCTATAAGTTGCACACAGCTATGCATAGCCCGCTTTACTCTTGGAAGCCTCTGCACTCTCACCTTACAACATTGATTCGCTTGGCATAAACATACTGAGAAAATTGAACCCGAGGAAATCTTTCGTAGGCGTGAGGGTAATTATGTCTTGCAAGTACAAAGAATTTGTCACACGAGGCTAACCGAGTCGGCGAAATACCGAGGTGTTTGAAGACCTCAGAACATAGTTGTTCGGTTAACATAAACACAACGAAAAACACTCGAGAAATGGATGCTTGTACTTTACATTGGGCGAGGGTATAAAATAGGCCATTCTGGTGCATCTATCGCAAACTACACTCTTAACTTTCACTTTCCTAACTATTCAGCATCACTTTGGACCGTATATGATACTAGTGCCATAATATCCGTGATTCTAGCACCATGCATATTACAAAACTTGGTTAATAACTGAAAACCCTATAACCCTACTCCAGGCTACATACGTGTGTGGTCAAAGATTTTCTCGTAAGCCTCCTTTTGCTCTGGGTTGTATAGTTCGGGGGGAATAACCTGATCCAGGCCAACTTGCAGCACTCTGATTTTGCGCTCCCTTTCGGCAATCTATGCATACAATGTGCGACATAAGGATGGGAAGTTCACATATCTGAAGTATACATATATATAATTATGAGCAAAGAGTTATGTTTATGTCTATGTCAATGTTTATGTCTA